GTCGACCACTGACCTGATTGGGCTTGGCGCCGCGAGGGGCCGCGTCGTGCGCGGCGCGGTGGCCAGCGCAGCGGCGTCTTCTCTGGGGCGGCGGACACCCTCGTCGAGGCCCCCGCCCCGGTCCACTAGACGTCGCGTCGGAGCCTCCTGGTGGCAGTCCTTCTGCGCGGGCGGATGGTTGCCCTAGTGGCGGGTCTCTGCTGGGGCCCGCGCCTCGAGGTGCAACGGTTGCGACGGCCGTTGTGCGGCCAGGGCGCGAGGGGCCGCCGCCCCCTTCTCGTCTTCGTGGTCGCGATCCATTCGCTCCCGGAGAGCATCGGGGAGGTTCGGCCAGAGGAAGTGCAACTCGCAGCGTAGTGGAGGGTCGCGGGGACTACCATCAAAGTGCACGTGGGCCGAGGCCTGGTCTGGTTTGGGCCGGCTCGGGCAGTTACGAGCATGGCGTTGTGGAGAGTCATGGGGGCCACCATGACAGCGCGCGTGTCTCGGAGCTGCTGCAGGACCAGGTCACCCCCAGCGCTACGGACGGCCCCGCCAGGACCGTGGCGCAAAGTTTTGAGGAAGCGGCGCTAGGACGCAAAGTCCCAAGGAAGCACCCGGGGTGGGGAGCTCCTCAGGCTCGACGTCGCCGCGTGGAGCTGGAGCCTCGGGAGTGACTCGCGGCGGGCGCCCGTGGGCCCGTCGCGTCAGTGGGCGCGCTCTCTTCAGTGAGTCCCACATCCACGACGCGGCGACCGCCGACCTGCAGGCCAAGCGCGACACCCAGGACCAAGGTAGGCGAAGGCCTGCGCGGCAGCCTGCCTACGCCGCGAGGACGCATCCTCCCTGGAGGTCGCGGAAGTGCCCTAGCTGCGCTTGGCCGCCTGCAGCTGCGCGTCGAGGACGGCAGCCTCGCGCTGCCTCAGACGGATCGTGGCCTTCTTTCCGCGGCCACCGACTACCGCGCCCACCGGGCGATGCAGCGGCCCAGGCGTTTCCTGAACGGGCTGTCGGATTTGGCGGGGCAGCGGGCCCCCGACATGGCATTCAGAGATGCAGGTTTCGATGTGTGAATGGCCCCTTGCATCGAGGAGATGATTGAGCACCTCGCCATGGGGCTCTTTCCACGCCCTATTCGCCGACATGACGCCGATCGGGGCTGTGCGCTCGCGGCGCCAGCGCGCTCGCGAGCTGCGCCAGGGAGCGCGGGGACGCGGTCGCCCCGCCCGCGCGGCCGCCACCCAGCAGCCGCCGTGGTCCCCCCCTGCCGCCCGCGCAAGGTCCAGGAGCCGCTCTCCGTCCAGTGGCGCTGGCCGTCGGGGCCCGCCGTCGCCCTCGCCCTCGCCTTCAAGCTCTCAGCCGTCGCTGATGGCGCAGCTGAATGGCGCGGACAGGCGCGGGCGGCTTCGAGGCAAGACTCCGCAGGCCCGTGCAGCGGGCAGCAGCAGTGCGACCCCTCTTCTGCTGGTTGAGGACGAGGCTGCTGGGGTGACCGTGGGCCCCCTTCGCGTCCCTGGCGCGCGGTTGGGAGCGCGCCGTCGCTGGATGGGAGGTGCGGGCGGGGCTTTGGCAGCCAGGAGGCGCGGCGCGTCGGTCAGGGTGGGGCGGGGCGCATCTCGCTGAGCACCCCGAGGCCCTTCCCCCAAGCCGAGGGCAGCCACGCGACCGCCCCATGAGGAGGAGCGGCGTCCAGCAGGCGAGGGGCCCACCGCCCAGAGGTCGGGGAAGTGCCGCCAGCGCGGCGCCCCGAGGGGGCCTTGCCGCCAGCGGGCGTCTCTGCAGCCCCCTCCTGGCGGCCCGCAGGGGTGAGGGGCGGGCCGCCGACGCCTCGGCGCCCAGAGGGACCAGAAGTGCCGCCAGCGCAGCGCCCCGCGGGGCCGCCACCGCGCCCGGGGGCCCCTGCTGCCCCCCCCCGGCCGCGTGCGGTGGTGAGGAGCGGGCGGACGCGCCTTCGTCGCCACCGACGGCGGCGCGCTGGCGGGCCGCGCGGGCCCCGCGCGCGGGGGGCGCGGGCGGCCGCGCCCAGCGGGCCCTTCGACATTTGGGGCCCTGGGGGTCGCCCGCTGGCGGACGGCGGCCAGGGCCTCTTTGAGGATGGCCCATCCATCCATCCCTCCTCCTCCTCCTCCTCCTCCTCCTCCTCTTTCCTCCTCCTCCTCTTCCTCCTCCTCCTCCTCCTCCTCCTCCTCCTCCTCCTCCTCCTACCCCTCCTCCTCCTCCTCCTTCTCCTCCTCTTCCTCCTCCTTTTGTGCCCCCCCAAACCTTTTCTAGTATGCGCTCTGGCCAGAGTTTCGAGACGGGCCCGGTCGCCGCTGCGAGGGGCCGTCTGCGGACCCAGAGGGGGCGAACGACCCCAAAAACCTCGATCCTCGAACGTCGATCCCCCTCCCGGGGGCCCCTCCCCGATAAGATCCGTTCAAAGGCGGTCCTCAGGCCATTCCAGGGGTCCATCCTGACATTTTTTCCGCTCCAGATTTCTGGCTGCCCTGCGGCCTGGAACGGGCGCCTTTGAGGTCGAGATCGAGGAATGACCTCCGAAGATCGAACGTCGAAAAACATAGATGACACATCCTTCCACCTACTTTTTTGTTCCTGAAGCCCCAGCCCTCGGGCCTATTCAGGGGCGCGCCTTGACCAACACATCTAGGGGATACCATCGTCGTCTTCATGTCAACGTTGCGCGTCGACGTGCTCCTATTGATGTTTCGGCGGGAGGGGCGGTCACATCTGCACCTCAATGTCATTTCTTCTGCGTTCGGTTTCCCGCTGCGCGCCTTTGTTTTGTATCGTGCTTCAAGCTGCAGGTTGCCTGCCTCTGTTAGAGCCTTGGCGCTGCTCCTAGATTAGACAGACGGCACGCTGATCTTTGGCTGTCCGCGTCCCCCTCTGTTTCCTCCCCGTCCTCATGTTCCTTCGGGGTCTACCATCTGTCCGAGTGGGATGGCGTTCGTTCTGGCACGGACCAGCGCTGTGACGTCAAGAAGTGCGACGCCGAGCAGCATGCTGGTGGCTGGGCGCGGGGGCGCTCCCAGCCGCGCCTGCTGCCTTGAGGGCCGTGGGGGGGCCTTCCTCCTCCTCCCCCGTCTCCTCCTTGTCTCCTTCCTCATCCTGGGTTGTTGCTCAGCGCTTGTTGTTTCACCTGCCTGTCTAGTGCCACACGCTCGGCGCTCGCAGCTTGCCCTCCATTGCCTGCTGCGCGCCCGCGCTCGCCGAGGGGTGATCGGCGGGATGGCGACGTCGGCAGGGGTGGCCGGTCTCCGGACGGGGATGATTGCCACTTCCCCCCGTGGAGGGTGGTACGCTCGAGGAAAAATCATGCTCCTTCTGGGTGCACAGGAAACGTGCTTGGAGTTCCTGTCGGGCTGTCCAGGGAAGCGTTTTCAAACGCACTCGGGCTGCCCAGGCGAGCTTCGTTGCAGATGCTGTTGGGCTGTTCTCGCCAGAAGTTGCGCTGGAGAAGAAACAGGAAACTTCAAGGGGAATCTGGCCATTGCCACGAGGGCGCCCGAAGGGGGCCCAATCTGAACCAAGAGCGTCCGAGAACGTGTATTTTTGTTGTCCCCCCTCCTCACGGGGCGCGAGGGGGGAGGGAGTTGGCCCTGGGGCAGACACATCGACCCCTAATCGATGCGTGGGCCCCTTGATGTCTCCACCCTTGCCATTGCAGCCGTTTTTCTCATACTGAGTACCTCTTTGTCCCTGGCGGCCGAAGACGGGCAAAAACCTCACGTCGTGTGCTTGATCCTCGAACTTGGAAGCTCGATCCTCGACCCTCGATCCTCGAACGCTCTGGGAAGCTCGATTCTCGATCCCCGATCCCCGAAACCCCCGCAGGCTTGCCGCGGACAAATATCTGCCGAGAGGGGGGTGCCAGGGATGGGTGATACGGCAGGGAGGGAGAGGGGGGGAAGCCTGACCATCCAGAACCCGAAACCGCAACTCTGAATGACCAGTGCTGAGTACCCTGCCCATGCCGACGAGCGGACCCGCGCCTGAACTCTCCAACGGAGCCCCAGCCTCGACCCCCTGAGCCCAATCCCTGACCCCAGCCCAGACCCGAAACCCTGATCCCGGCGCCACCTGGACCCTCACGTCATATCTAAGCCGAACCTAGGTATTACCACAACTAGTCCAAGCCACCGTCCCCACGCCCTAAGTAACCCATCGCGCGAACTTCATTCCCAATACCCCAGACACTCTTCGGGGCCTACTCCTCGCCCTAACACGAATACACACCCAGATTCCCTCTTCCGCAACGACCGCGGTGCATGCGAAGTCACGCGTTCGCAACGACTCTGGGACGACTCTTCCCCGAGGTATGCGCTACGCTGCAAGACGGATGCGTAGAAATTGAGTGCACGCGAAGCGCGCGGGGGTCTCAGCAGAATTCTGCATCTCGAGCGCGGTACACATGTATAGCTTGAGCGTAGCCCATAGTCGCAAAAAAGCCGTAGTGTACACAGTTGGATGTGGTTGAAGCTCGTGAAAGGAAGAGGGTAATGATTGCGGACAGAAGCAGTAGGAGCAGCGTGCCAGCTTCTGCCTTTTAGTATCGTTCCTGCTGGAAGATGCTGGTCTGTCCTTCGATGGCTTGTGCCTCCGCGCAGCTGGCTATCACAGAGGCTTGAGCGTAAGCCAAAACCAAACCAGACTTGTTGGGCGCGTAAATCATTATCGTTCTGATGCAAGTGTGTGTGCGCATGCAACTTCGTTCAGTCAATCTCGCGTTGGCCTTGTAACACAGTGTCCTGGCACGCCTGTGTAACTAAGTGTCTCAGCGTGCTGGTGCATTTGTTTCATAGAGGACTCACAACTATGAGAGAAGCCTCAACTTTTTTTGCCATTTCCGTAGCAGTTTTGGTTCGAGCGTCAACGGTTGTTCCGATATCTTCTTGCGTAAAAACAGTATTTCGAGCATGATGTTGACACCCACACTTGCCATCGGGATTCTTCCCGCGATCGTGCTTTCCATGGGTAGCGATGGAAGTGACGTGTGCCTCGCAGGATCCGGCTGCTCATCAATGGCTAGCAACGAAAACGATGTGTTGACTCCACTGCTGGCTTTACACTCAGAGCACATGCCTGCAAAGGACTCAGAGATGTTGGGCAAACTCGCCCAGAAATCAGTCGAACTTGTCACGAAGGCTTTGGGGAAGGACGCCAGCAAGTCTCAACGAGAGTCTCAGGCGAGCCGCCTCAATGAGAAGGGGAAGAAGGAACAAAAGGAAGGAAAGTTTCAGCAAGCATGCATCTATAGCAATGCCGCCTCACTGTTGGCTGCCCGGCCACCATCGCAGACGTACCCGCGCCGCATGCCGAGCATGTTTCTGAATGACCTCGGTGGATGTTTCCTCGCGTGGTTTCAGAAGACCAGACGTTGGGGCTTTGCCTTAGGGGCAGCTGCCGCAATCGAGATGGCATTGATACGGGACCCGAGCAACCAGGATAGCCCTTACAACAATGCCAAGGCCTTGACGGCGAGTATGCAGGAGTTGGCCCCAGACCAGATCGGAGCTGGCCACTGTCGTCTACTGCTCTGCCCTTCCGCTGAAGGAAGCGTGATGCATCCAGCAGTGGTACATCGACCAAGCAGCGGCGATGAGCTCAAGTGGCAGATGACCAGGGCAGCCAGCCTCGACCCAGTTTGTGCGAATAATGCGCCCACCGTCGTCATAGATGACGCAGAACGCGATGCTGGGGTGTTACGGCAGGATACATTTGAGCATGCAGTGGCAGCGCTTTCCTCGTGTGGTGTCGCCGTATTAAAAAACGCATACCGTCCCGAAATCATTGCAGAGTTGGCCTCCGCTCAGGAGGCAGAGTTCGCACGTGTCCAGGCGGAGGGTTTATTGAACGACTCCACCATCACAGTCCCTGCCGGCAAAGAAGGCCGTTATAATGTCAAGGCCCCTTTTAGGAGGCCTTTCATTGGCGAGGCATACGTGGACAATCCCATCGTAATGGGTGTGCTGTACGCAGCCATGGGTGGCGTTCGTTCCAATGATGTAGAGGTCGCCACGTTGTCCCACGTCACGTCTCTGCCGCACAGTCCTCCCGGAAATTGGCACGGCGACCACAGCGCTTTGTTTCAACCCAATGAGCGATACAGGGCTACTTATGGCCTCCTGCCAGCACACGCGTGCATCGCCATCGTACCATTAGCAAATATATCAATGGAGATGGGGCCGACACGGTTTTTGCTCAAGTCACATCTGCCATGTATGGGGGAAAGGCGCCCGACCCCGGTCGGTGGCGGTGTGATTGTCGACGCCTGCTATTTAGCGGACACGGTGTTGGACGGTGTAGGGGATGTTGGCGATGCGTTGCTCTTCGACATGCGGATCCTACACCAGGGCAGCGGCAATGACTCCCCGAATCTGCGACCGACGATGTACACAACTTATGCGCAGAAGTGGTTCTTGGACAGTGCAAATTGGAATGTCAAGCACACAGCTGCCTTCGACAGTTTTCCTGGTGATCTGCGGCGGCGACTGTCCAGGTTGGATTCCGAGGACTACCTGAAGAAGCTTGAGGCCTTGCTGGAGGAGAGGGGCGTGGACGTCAACGCTCTGCAGTCCAGCTACTTCTACAACAGGTTCGACATAACTATGGAGCGCGACGACCGAATTGATGGTCTTATTCAGACTTGAACGTTAGTTTCTTCGATCTCCTTGGGCACTGCGGAGGCAAACGCAAAGGGCGGTCACGTAGAGTGACCGCAGCATGGCTGCCGGCTGGAAGATGGAGCGAGGTAGAAAGGAGAGCGTTGGTATCCTACTCTTTGGGCTTGGGGACATATCCAGACGCCCCTAACGACCTCAAGAAGAATGAGTAGAAGGAAAGGATAAGTGTAATTGTGACAATGATGAGGAAGGTGAGGAAGGTGACCAGTTTAAACCCAAGAGTCACCAACGATGTTGAAGCCCTCCCTCCAAGCTCCCTCTTTATAGGCCCCTACAAGTGTTCATTTCCACAGGGAACTGCCTCGTTGGAAGACAATCGTTTGAAGACCCTACCCTGAAGCCTGCCACAACATTATTTCCGGTACTCCAACGCCACGGATCAACCTAAGTGTTGCGTCTTGACGATCCAGAATCGTGCCAGAACGCCAATCCGTTTTTTTTCAACATCGCGAATCAACGTAACTGTTGCGCCCTCACAATCTTGAATCTTTCCAGAACATTATTCCTGGTACGGTTGACCATGGGACTCCGTGAGACTCTTGTAATTTTTTGAAGACGGAATGTGCGGGGCGCTAAGGCGAGAGCCACATTTTGAAAACGAGCCGCCTTCAATCCGTTAAGGTCTTACACATGCTTAAAACGAGTGTGCGCGGCGTTAGAGCGAGAGCCACGTTTTGAAAACCACCCGCCCTCAATCCGTAAAATTTGTGCACCCGTTTTGAAATAATGTGCGCGGCGCTAGGACGAGAGCCACATTGTGAAAACCACCCGCCCTCAATCAGTGAAGCTCGTACGAATGTTTAAAGCCAGTGTGCGCGGCGCTGAGGCGAGAGCCACGTTTTGAAAACGACCCGCCCTTCATCTGTGAAGTTGTTGCAATGTTTTAGTTTCAGGGTCACAAGTGGTGAGGATGTCTCAGGCGAAACGCCCGGCCCGCCCTTTCGACCGGCCTCGGGGTGCGACGGAGAAGTTATTTGGAAGGAAAAGGAATGGAGGAGGAAGCGGAGGAGGAGGGAAGGATGATGAGAAGGAGGCCCCGACCAGAATCCAGCCCCTGGGCTCTTCGCTGTCTGTTCCCTGGCGGCACGGTCGCCAGCGTGCGGGAGGACGGGCTCCTCCTCGGGGCTCTGTCCGTCATCGTCGTCGTCGTCGCCGTCGTCGTTGTCTACTATTCATCTCTAAAAAATGATTATTGCTGCTCTCCGGATGCGGTTCCGCGCGCTCTCGCCTCGACGCCTGCTAGATTTTCTGACAGCGAAGCTCGCTCTCGAGCGTTGGCTTGATTGTGAATGTGTGTTGTCCCGCTCGATACGACCTTATAGTTTATCCCAGGACACCCTGGCCAGAGAGGACCCCGAACTCAAGAACGGCGGTCTCGCTTCAGACTTCCTTGCAATTCAGTCAAGTTGGCGGAGGCCCAGCCACGACGACAAGTTCTCACGCTTGATATCGTCTTTCAATATACCTGGAGACACCCTGGCCAGAGAGGCCCTCGAACTCACGAACGGCGCTCTCAGTTGAGACTTCTTCGCAAGTCAGTCAAGTTGTCGGGGGCCCAGCCACGACGACAAGTTCTCCCGCTCGATTTTGTCTTACAATATACCCGGATACATCCTGGCCAGAGAGGCCCTCGAACTCACGAATGGCGCTCTCGTTCGACACTTTCTTCAGGCAAGTTGGTGGAGGCCCAGACACGGCGACAAGGGTTCCCGCTCGATATTTCTCAAGATGTAGTCCGAGAGCCCTGGCCAGGGAGGCCCTGGAAATCAGGAGCGGCGCTCGCGTTCGAGAGTTTCTCGTACTTCAGTCAAGTTGGTGCAGGCCCAGCCACCACGACAAGGGCTCCCGTTCGATACTTCCTCAAGGTGTATTTCGGGATCTCCTGGCCAGAGACTGCAATTCACTAACGGCGCAACAGGCCCACATGCGACGACAGGGGCTCCGGCGCGCCCACAGACGCTCCATCACGCTGCCCACTGAGGCCTTCGGACACAACCCGCAGAGGCCCCAATCGCGCCCACAGAGGCCCCAGCCCACAGAGGCCTCAAGCGCGCCCACAGAAGCCCCGGCGCGCTGCCCACTGAGGCCCCCAATACAGCCCACAGGGGCCCAGAGTAAGCCCACGGAGGCCGTAGCACGCTGCCCGCAGGCCCACCGCTGCCTCCGCGCCCTCGACACTCGGGAATCACGCTCTCGCTTTGCCCGATCGCGTTATCACTCGAGACTCGCGATTCATGCAGGACGCACGCTTCAGCAGTCCGCCTGCTCGACCTGGCCGCTTGGGCCCGCCTTCCCGACCCGCCTGTTAGGGTCTACTCGCCCGATCTGCCCGTCTGGTTTTGCCACGTGTTTTCTGCTCCTAGCCCCCCTCCTGCTACTCTCTCTCTCTCTCGTGCTCCATCCTCCTCCCTTCCCCTTGTCCCTTGCTTCCATTCGTCATCTCTTCCCCTGCCGTAGGGGCTGCATGACATACACGTCGCAGGTAAGAAAAATATACTCCAAGGGGGTACGATCGAAGACGAACGGGGCGGGTATCGACGGGATGGGATATACGTGTTGCATGGCACGCGAGCAGGTAGGATCGAACAGTTTCAAAACGATTGATGCCGTCTCATTGCTGAAGAGCTCCCCCCAGGGCTCGCACCCGGTGTTTTTCCAGGGAAAGTCACGGGGCTCAAACTTTGCCCTTGGCTTCTGGTTTACAGCAACAGCGGCTCCAGCCTGATACTTCCGCTGTCGCGCGGGATTGTTTTCAAAATGCATGTACGCATCGCGCTCTCGCGTGGGACTTTTTTTCAGTTCATTCAAACGATACGCCCTCGGCGCTCAAGAATCACGCTTTCGCTTTGGCTTTTGACGATTTACTTGGGAATCGCGATATCGCTCGAGACTTCCTCCCGATTTCGCTCGAGACTTCCTCCCGATTCATGCAGGACCCACGCTTCAGCAACCCGCCTGCTCGACCTGGTCGCCTGGACCCGCCTTCCCGAACTGCCCGCTATGGGTCTGCCCACGCGATCTACCCGTCTGGTTATACCACTTGTTTTCTGCTCCTTGCCCCCCTCCTGCTAGTTTCTCTCGTGCTCCATTCTTCTCCCGCCCCCTTCCACCCGTCCTCTCTTCCCATGCTTTAGGGGCTGAACTAAATCCACGTGGCAGGTAAAGAAGATATACCCGCAAGGGGGTACGATCTAAGACGACGAGGGCGGGTATTGATTGGCACGTGAGCAGATAGGAGCAATCAATATTAAACTGATTGTTGTTGTTGTTGAAGTCTCAGTACTGAAGAATGAAAATTGTTGATCCCCCTCCTCCGGTGACCATTTTGTTTTTCAATTGAAGTGCTTCCCCCGGGGCTCGCCCCCTGTTTTTACCAGAGACAGTCACGGGGCTCAAACTGGGCCCCTGGCCCCCTGTTTACAACAACAACGGCTCCCGTCTGATACTTCCTCGCAATGTATTCCCAAATCGCGCTCTCGCGCGGGACTGCCTCACAGTTCATGTACGCATCGCGCTCTCGCGTGGGACTTCTTTCGGTTTATTCAGACGGTGCGCCCTCGGCGCTCAGGAATCATGCTTTCGTGTTGGCTTTTTGCGATTTACTTGGGAATCGCGCTATCGCTCGAGATTTCCTCTCGATTCATGCAGGACCCACGCTTCAGCAACCCGCCTGCTCGACCTGGTCGCCTGGACCCGCCTTCCCGAACTGCCCGCTATGGGTCTGCCCACGCGATCTGCCCGTCTGGTTATACCACTTGTTTTCTGCTCCTTGCCCCCCTCCTGCTAGTTTCTCTCGTGCTCCATTCTTCTCCCGCCCCCTTCCACCCGTCCTCTCTTCCCATGCTTTAGGGGCTGAACTAAATCCACGTGGCAGGTAAGGAAGATTTACCCCAAAGGGGGTACGATCTAAGACAATGAGGGCGGGTACCGAGGGGTTGGGATATACGTATCAATTGGCACGTGAGCGGACATGAGCAAACAGTCTTGCAATGATTGTTATGTTTGCCGGAACATATTGTTTTTTCTCAATCAAAGTGTGCCCTTCGACGCTCGCACCCAGTTTTTTGACAGAGAAAGTCTTGGTGCTCAAACTGGGCCCCTGGGCCCACGGATTACAACAACAAGGGCTCCCGTTTGAGACTTCCTCCAAATTTGCTCAGGACCCCCCGCTCCTGAGACTTCCTCACATTTTTCTCCAGATCGGTGCTCCCGCCTGTGATGTCCTCGCAATTTAGTCAGGACCCCCGCTCCCATCTCAGACTTCCTCACAATTTACTCAGGAACGGCGCTCCCGCTTGAGACTTCCTCGCAATTGAATTAAGTTTTTTTTCGGGCAATTTAAACAAGACCCCCGCTCCCGTCACAGAAGCTGTCACATTTTATTCAGGAATTGCGCTCTCGCCTGTGACTTTCATATAATGTATTTAGAAATCGCGCTTTCGACGCTCAGGAAAACGCTGCGCCAAGGACGCCGCTGCACTTTACTTAGTAATCGCGCTCTCGCCATACTCAGGCATCCCGCTTGAATGTCCCACCCGCCCGACCCGCTCGTCAGGGGATCGCCCGCCCGTCGTGGGCTCCCGCCCGAGACTTCCTTCAGGAACGACGCTTTCGCCTAGGACTTCCTCGAACGTACACGCTGTTACCTTCCTGCTCCTCCTCCCTCTCCCTCCTCCCTCCTCCCTCCTCTCCTCCCTTCTCTCTCCCTCCTCTCTTCCCTCATCCTTATGCCTCTCTGCCCTATCCCCTCTCCCTCCTGTCCCTCCTCCCTTTTTCCCACCCCTCTCCTGCCTCCTCCCTCCCTCTTTTTTTTCTCTCTTCTCTCTCTCTCTCTTTCTCTCCCCTCTCTCTCTCTCTTTCCCTACCTTTCTTATCTGTCTTTCTATCTCTCTCTCTCTCTCGCTCTCTCTTCCTTTCTTTCTCTCTCTCTCTCTCTCTGCCTCTAGTCAACCGCCACCCTCTTCGCT